TTAAAACATTTTTTTTCCTTAAAATCAACATCTGGGTTTACCAACAGATGTGCCAAGACTAAGCCATGAGTGATATATGTAACTGAGAGTTTAAGCCCCTAAAAGCAAAATGTGAATGGCATGAAAAAATAAAATAATGATACCATGAAGAAATTCATTGTGACTCTAAAAGCTAAAATTACATTTTTGTTTTTTGTGAGTGTTTTTTAGATAGCTAGTCTTCATACTTTCTGGTGCACGCCACAGCAGGAAAAAGACAATTATGTTGGATTTAAAGTGTACTTATATTAAAAGATGGGTGCGTCATTTTTTGTTTCAAATCCTGGCGTGCATGATAGTTCAAATTCATCACCTAAATTGCTGTTGTGAAAATCAGTATTGTGGTTATAATACATTTGAAATATGGAAAGGAAAGAAGCGGGCTGAAGAATTCTCAGAAATTCTCTCTGAAAAGTACTTGCTTGGCCAGCCACCCGGCTGGCCTCAAAGCAATGTTTCATACAGTGGACTTTTCCTATCCTCCTTTTTTTTCACCCAGGAAATTACCAGATGACAGAAATAATGTAGAGCCAACACAGGTATGACCTCACAGTGCTAGGCAATGCATTTATAGTTAAACATGCTATATTTAACTATAAATATATTAGTATGTCTGTATAGTATATTAGTATATATATTCTATATAATGTATATAGTATATAGTGTATACACACACACAGACACACACACAGAGTTCTTGAGTTGTTGGTTCAGATTTTTTTTTTTCCTGTAGAATTTTTTTACTTGAGCTGACTTTGATGCTGCTAGGATTTTCAGCTGAATTTCCTTCACTCCCACCTTGGGTATTGAACCCTTACACCGAGGGAGAAATTGCTCTTTTGAGAAGTCTCAGAATGCTGGGGAGGGTGTGTGCCTTTTGTAAGCTTTCCTTCAGCCTGCAGGAGTAATGATGGAATAAATACTACTCAATATGCCCCTCAGGTATGCCACCAGCTACTTACTCCTATCCTTTCCTCTCCCTGAAGTGCCCTTATTCTTATTGTCCTCCTTTCTCCTTGTACTGCATCAGGGAAGCTCAAATTACTATTCACTCCTAAAAGCAGCTTGTAGAAATAGGAGGAACCATTTTTATTAAACATACACATAGGGCACCAATGTGTGACTCTGGTGATGTATAAAAATCGAGTTAAGAGATTGCTTCTATCTGATCTTGTGTCCTCATGATCTAGTTTTAATCTGCTTCTCAGAACTAAGAGTGCAAATTCCAGCAGGGAAATGGCCATCATTAGCCACATCTGTCCAACTGAAGATAAATTTGACTGAGTGGAAAAAAAAATCTAAAGAGGCATTTAAACAATCTTGAAAAAAAATTTCAAAAGGAGTTGACTGCAAGTGATAAAAGTAATGACATGAGATGATTTTCCACCGTATCCATGTTTAGTCACTCGAGAGAAAGACCTCGGGTTAATTATTGAGACTTTGTTTTTGTTTTGAATTATTGTTAATTATTGAGATTATGTTTTAGATGACTGTCATGATTTCTGTCCTTAAACATAGCACAAAGGATAATTACAAAATATTTTAAAACTCTGTCATGTGCAATAAACTACGAAAGAGTTTTTTTCTTCTTTGACAAGGCCCAGCTTGATTTTAAAAGTGGGGGCAGGGGAGACCCTTTCCATCTTCTGTCAGCATTAGAATGCATCTCTACACTTAAGTAGACTAAAGATTTTTTTTTCCTTTTGTGTTGGGGCCAAAACCAGCAATGCTCAGGGGTTACTCCTGGTTCTGCACTCAGGAGTTAGTCCTGGCAGTGCTTGGGGGACCCTGTGGGATGCCAGGGATCAAACCCTGATCAGTCGTGTGCAGGGCAAATGCTCTACCTGAATGCTTTAGCCCCTTAAGTAGACGAAGGATATTGTTCATTTCAAAAGAACTGACTCTCCCAGTTAAATTATCTTGAACATAATATGAGCAGGTCAGGGCTTAAATCTGTGTTGTAGTTTAGAAAGACTGAGCATGCATGGATCTTTGTGATCCAAGAACTTGGGTTGAAAAATCATCTGTTTTTCTGCCTTTTCTGTTTCTTCCAAAAATTACAAGTGCATTAAGAAAAAAAAGGATTCTAAAGTGCTTACCAAAGTGATAAATTTGTTTAGATGGGAGGTTACTTAATATGTGAAATTTTTCTCACCACCCACTCTCCACCCCCACATCAGCCTGCTCCTATTGAATCCTAGGTGTGAACACCTAGATATTTCACTCTGACTCAACTTTCCATTCTCATTCTTGATAAGCCTGACACAAATAAAATACATTTGATAGCATCTTACTGTGTGTTTTAGGCATATCCAAAAATCTTCAAAAAATAGGCAAAGGGAATGAAAAACTAACAAAAGATTTCTTACCCAAAAAAAGGTTTCAATTGAATATCCTTGACAAATAGTAACTTACTGAGCATTTACTATATCCCTGGCACTGAGTTAATTGCATCCATTAGCTCACATAATACAGCAGCTCACACTTTAAAGATGGGGAAATGTAAACACTATGAGGTTAAGTAATTTGCCCAGAGTTACACCCAGCCAAAGGCAGAACGTTTCAAATACAAATAGTCTGACTTCTAAATCTGATTATTAACCTCCATTTATACTGAGTCCTGAGTAAGTGAATCAGAGTACTCTGTTGTATTTAAAATAAGATAGGGTTTACATAGATATGCCAGATTTTATTGGAGCATAAGTGCCATTTAAAGTAAGATATGCATGTGGAAACCAGTGCTGTAATTTCAGGATTTTCCTTCCAACTAATGAAGGGCATTTTCTTTGCAAGAGAATTAAGCACAAAATTGTGCAAGGATTGAAACCATTCTCTGAAACCAGGATTACACCCACTTTGGCATGCTGTGTCAAGCACCCAGGGCATAAGGAAAGCAAAGCAGGCTGGAGTGAGTGGTTACACATTCAAATTTGAGCCTCAGCCATATATGTGGGTTAGTTTCCAAATGGACATTTGCATTGCCTTTATGTGGATGGAGTTGTTGTTTATTTGCCAACCATGTTATTTAGATCTAGGAAAAAGACAGCATGGCCCCAGGGAAGTTTCACAATTATAACCTAACTAGGCTCCTCAACACACTTTGGATAAAGGGGCCCCAGAGTGTTTGATAAACACAACCTCTAATAGTTCACTGCATTTAGGAAAGCGGCAGTCTCAACTGTGCAGTAGCTTCCAATTGGGATTTGTGAACTGACACAGAGGTTTAGAACCTTGAGGATCTCTTCCTGGGCCTGATTGGGTTGGGGGAGCAGAGGGGGAGCCAGAGATTATCTTGGGGAAAATCTAACTTTTATTACATCACCTAAAGTAGCACAACCTACTACACTAATGAAATTGTGTTCTTGGTTGAAAAGGGCAATTGTTAGCCTGACTTTGTGCTCACTAAAAACATTCCCCCAATATCGTTAAATTATTGCTCTCATTTCAGATTTTTATGGCTGTGCAGCTTACCAGCCCTCATTTCTTTACGTTTCATTCATTTTCCTTGTATTGATGATTAATGGAGGATGTCGAATGTTAGAGTGAGCAGGCATCAGCAATTGCAAGATCATAATTAGTTTAGCTGACGAGGGCCTCTGATAGCACTTGCATCTGGATGGAAAAATTACCCTATAGGGAACTGGCTGCTCACCAGGTCTTTTTAGTGATACATTGTGAAACACCCGATGAATCAAATGCCCTTTCAATGCCAAGAAAGTGTTCCAGTCTTGAAGCCAAAATTATGTCTGCAGAAAGCTTTCCATTTGAAATGTATCAGAGTACAATTATAACCATTGTATTTTCTTGGCAGGGATACCACAAGTCTACAGTATGGACTCAAGTTAAATAAATTGCCTAAATTTCATGAATCCCTGAAATTTTGACCTACAGTGCTTGTAATTTTAAATTAATAACAAAATTGGGTTCCAGCAAGACTTTTGTCCACTCCTTATCTCGCGTGCATATTTTATCATGAAAGACTTTGCTTCCTAGAGAAAGCAGAATCTCAATTCCGGCTGTCCTTTTTTTTTTTTCTTTTTTTCTTGGTAGCAAGAGAATTCCATTTCCTGCCTGTTAGTATTTGTGACTACAAACACAGCCTGACTTTTGTTTCAATGAGAAGTTTAATGGAATCATTACTTGATAGCAAGAATAGAACAAGCAATACTAATTATCTACTTTTTAAGTGTTCCTAGATTATTTTGGAATCTGGTGATTACAGAATTCAGCCCACTGAAATCAATTTGCATTCGGAAATGCTTGTGATTTCCAAGTCTGAGTCAAATAAAATAAATAACCATTGATGGGACAGTGTTGTCTGGCTAACACAGGCAACTCATAGGGTTCCCATTAGTAATATTGTGTTTGTAGTTGGCACAAGCTTCTACTAGTCCTTCATAGTTTTAAGAAATAGTGTTTGCGTTCCGATTTTCTAATTGCAACCCAGAATGACCACGTCTTCTATTCTCTACACTCTTACGTTGTGTGACTGTCATAGAAAATGACACCAAATGGTTTACACGCACATTTATTTCAAGTCTGACTGTTTTTAAAGTTCAGGTGGCATGTGTCTCTCCTTTTCCATAGTATTAAGCATATTGCAATTTTCTGTCTTTTGACTTCTGTTTTGACACGTTTAAAAGGTATATTTTAGGGTTCAGCATCGAGGGGCCATCATTAAAGGCACAAAACCCAAAGTTCAAAAAGTTAAAGCTGTTCCTGTGAAAAGCCTTTGGTGTTGCCCACACCTCATCCATCACTGTAGGGTTAATTATAATGAAAATCAGTGGTGCCTATTAAACACAATTGAACCTGACCTCATTATGGGCAGTGTGGTTTTACACTGTCATTGTTGCCAGTCCAAAGACAAAACTCCTGGGCTGATTTGGGCTAACACCACTGATCATGTGACTCACCTCTGACCTTCCCATTTGGGGTTTTATTTTTTTCTCTCGTTTCAGAGGCGTCGAGGCTCGGGTGTTTTCTGTGCCAATTGCTTGACCACAAAGACCTCTCTCTGGCGAAAGAATGCAAATGGCGGATATGTATGCAACGCGTGTGGCCTCTATCAGAAGCTCCACTCGGTAAGACCTTGTTCCCGGGCGTCAGGAAAAGCATCTGAAGGCAGCCGGGGCTGGGTGTGAGGAGTCCCATTCCCCAGCTTGCACTGTCTGTCTCCAGAGTTTCATACCGTCACTGTTAGCACACATGTGATTTATGGTGAAGTGGCTTTAAAAGTGATGGGGAGATACTTTCGAGATCATTAGTGATGCGTTACGCTTCTCTTGATAGAAAAGAAGGAGGTGATTAATTTCTGGGAACTCCCCATATCAGAGAGTCAAGCTAATGCTTATCAGAATTTGGAGAAATTCATTTAGTTAGGAAGGGGAACCTTATTAAATGATCAAACATAGGGGAAAAAAAATTTTTTTACAGGGAGGGGGGTTAAAGCAATGTTCAACCACATAAAAGGTAGGACAGGGAAAGCAGGTTCATTTCTGGTTTCCATTTGGAACTTTTCAAGGTCACAGTGGCTGCTTGGGGGACAGGAGGTTACTGCAGAAGGAAGGGTACTTCTACAGCAGCACCCCAGAATAGCAGGTGAACTGCCGCTGTGTGGCAAATGAGGTTTCAGGGCACAATTAGTGGGGCCTGAGTAGCACGCGGCGGAGGAGAGGAAAGTACAAAAGTGCTGTGTGTTTTAAGATTTTATGGCTCACTGAGGTGTACTTGAAGTTGTTTGCCCCCACATTTTAGTCAGAATCCTGTCGTGAAATTTAAACTCACACGTCCCCTATCCGAATAGCCACTTAACTTCCTGAATGTTATTTGTTGAGTTCAGAAAGTTAGCCACTGACAAGAGCTGCCTTCAAACTAGGAATACCCTCGTTAGTAAACAGAAACCTATTTTCCTCGGCCTTTTTTCATTTTGCTTGGCATTCTCCCATAGCTCTTAGCACAGGCCAATGAACAGATTACAGCTAGAGGGAATACAATTTTAGACAAAGCCTGCTCGTAAATGGACCTATGGAAGCACTCTTTTTGAATGGATGCTGCCAATAATACTAATAGGTGGCAAACTGTAAAATACTTAGTTATAGGTTTGGACAGATAGTGAAGGAGCTAAGGGACTTGCTTTATATGCATCTCATCTGGGTTCGATCTCCAGAACCCCGGATGGTCCACATAGACTGCCACGGATAATCCACTGGATGGGGCACGAAAATGAAATAAACCGTAGTTATTTCTAGTATGTTGCTCATCGAAGGAGTCTCCTCTCTGTGCGCCCTTATTTTATTTTCATCTTCGCCATTTGAACACAGCAGTAAGCATTCATTTAATGAGTATTGGCATTAATGATTTTAATTGAACTCTAGCTATTCATAGGTGAAAAATTAATTAAACTACTGATCACCCAGCTATGATAATTTAATAACTGATCTAAGCTAAACCCTTGTTTTTAAACAATGTTCTCATATTCATCTTCCCAGAAACAAGGTGTTTTTCATTTTAAGGTTCATTTTAAGGGCCAGAGAAATAGTCCAAGCATCAAGTACCTTGCATGCGGCTAATCCTCTTTCAATTCCTGGTCCTCAGAACGCTACCAGGTGTGTCTTTGGAGCACAGAGCCAGAAGTAGTTCCTGAGCAGTGTCATATATAAAAATAAAATGAAAATTTGTTTTCATTACAAATTAAAATACACCAAGGTTGTGTGTACATTCCATGCCAAAGGCAGTTGCAAAAGCATTGATGAGTTTAAGAAGGTATGAGGACTGAGAAAAATAGCTCAAAGGGGTAGAGCACTTGCTTTGCATGCAGGAGACCCATGTTTGTCCCTTAGCACTGCACAATTCACAAAGTACTCCCAGTATATGGAGTATCTCCCAGCCCTGGTCTAGGCATATAAACAAAACAAAAATAGTAATGATGAAAATAATAATGCAAATTTTAGGATTTCTTTTAAGATAGAGAGTAAATAAATACTGCATCTTTATAATATAAATAAAAGCTCTTATAAGACAATGTTCAAACCCAGAGATCAAGGCGCTTACCTTGCACATTGCTAACCTAGGTTTGGTCCCCTGAGTATTACAGAGTGTGGCCCCAAAACATAAAAACATAAAATAACATTTTGGACAAATGAGTTAATGTACTGAAAACAGTAATTGTATTGTCAGAAATAGGTATGTTATCCTTCTTCCCTTCAGAATACCTCTTTGATAAGAGAAACATCCCAAATGTGACTTATGAGTATTTTGTTTTCTATGTAAAAGATACATCTTGAATTAAGGTATACGCTTTCTAAGAATAATTCGCAAATTATTTTGTAATCCATAATTTCTTTAAATTTTTTTCCTGATTTCAGTAATATTGTAGAAAAATCTGCTCTTGGCCCATTTAAAGTATCTGATATTTTTATCTATAGATTTTAGTCACATAGTCATATACCATGCACATCTATTGGACATGTATATAAATAGCAGTTCTCAAATGCATAAGCTGAATAAAATGCCCAGATTGAGCAAAAATCAGCATTCAAGTTCATTAGATTAGGTGAGAGATTGGCTCTATGAGCAAGGCTACAAATCCCCTGGAGATGGTTTTCCATACCCGATTTCCTCACATTTCTGTCAGTTGTTCATTGATTATTTATGCTCGGGTATTGAGTATTTCATTTAACATTTGCCACTATTTAGAAGGATGTATGCATTGGTCTGCTTAGGTTACCATAACAGAATACTCCAGACTGGATGGCTGAAACAGCAAAAATGTAATTTCCCACAGCTCTGGGGACTGCACAGTCTGAGGTCAGAGTCTCGCTTTTGCTGAGGCTCTTCCTGGCTTGCGGCAGCAGGTCTCACTGTGTCCTCATTTCCCCTCAGTGAGCTCCTGAAGACCTAATCACCAGATACATTCACATTTGGGGTAAGGACTTCAACACATGCATTGGCGGCAAAGGGAGTGAGACCCAGTTAGTCTACAGCACTGTATAATTTTTTTCCCAGTCGCCCTCCAAACCTATCACCCCTGTGTTGACTTCTCAGGGCATGATTCAGAAACATTGAGAAATAGTTTAGGGAAAAAACAAAGTTCCTTTCTTCAAGTAACTTTCTACACAGTTTTATCACTCCGTGATGCAATTCCAGAACCTATTGAGTTTGGAAAAGCTGTTCCCAAGTAGATTAAAAGTTTTCCGTCCTCCCTGCAAAGATGAACATGATTTAATTAGGCTAAAATTGTGCACTTCGGTTACTTCCTCTGATCCTGCTTAGGGCAAAAGGAGAAGACTTAGTAAATCCATAGCATAAAGCCTATCCCTCGCTTTGAACTTCAGCATGGTTTGTATTTGTGAGGAAATTGTTAATGCATTTTAATGTGTTTTTTCATGTATGCCTTTTATGTATGGTGTGTGTGTTCTCTCTGCAGACTCCCAGGCCTTTAAACATCATTAAACAAAACAACGGTGAGCAGATTATTAGGAGAAGAACAAGAAAGCGCCTTAACCCAGAGGCACTTCAGGCTGAGCAGCTCAACAAACAGCAGAGGGGTAGCAGTGAGGAGCAGGTCAATGGAAGCCCCTTAGAGAGGAGGGCAGAAGATCATTTATCTGAAAGTCACCAGAGAGAAATTCCGCTCCCGAGCCTGAGCAAATATGAAGCCCAGGGTTCATTGACTAAAAGCCATTCTGCTCAGCAGCCAGTCCTGGTCAGCCAAACTCTGGATATTCACAAAAGGATGCAACCTTTGCACATTCAGATAAAAAGTCCTCAGGAAAGTACTGGAGACCCAGGAAATAGTTCATCCATATCTGAAGGGAAAGGAAGTTCTGAGAGAGGCAGTCCCATAGAAAAGTACATGAGACCTGCGAAACACCCCAACTATTCACCACCAGGCAGCCCCATTGAAAAGTACCAGTACCCTCTTTTTGGACTTCCCTTTGTACATAATGACTTCCAGAGTGAAGCGGATTGGCTGCGGTTCTGGAGTAAATATAAGCTCTCTGTTCCTGGGAATCCGCACTACTTGAGCCATGTGCCTGGCCTACCAAATCCTTGCCAAAACTATGTGCCTTATCCCACCTTCAATCTGCCTCCTCATTTTTCAGCTGTTGGGTCAGACAATGACATTCCTCTAGATTTGGCGATCAAGCATTCCAGACCTGGGCCAACTGCAAACGGTGCCTCCAAGGAGAAAACGAAGGCACCGTCCAATGTAAAAAGTGAAGGTCCCTTGAATGTAGTAAAAACAGAGAAAGTCGATAGAAGTACTCAAGACGAACTTTCAACGAAATGCGTGCACTGTGGCATTGTCTTTCTGGATGAAGTGATGTATGCTTTGCATATGAGTTGCCACGGTGACAGTGGACCTTTCCAGTGCAGCATCTGCCAGCATCTTTGCACGGACAAATATGACTTCACAACTCATATCCAGAGGGGCCTGCATAGGAACAATGCACAAGCAGAAAAAAATGGAAAACCTAAAGAGTAAAAACCTTAGCACTTAGCACAATTTAATAGAAATAGGTTTTCTTGATGGGAATTCAATAGCTTGTAATGTCTTATGAAAACCTATTAAAAAAAAATACTTCATAGAGCCTGCCTTATCCAACATGAAATTCCCTTATTTTATTACGCTTTCTTTCGATGAGTAGGTTACCAGGATTCAAAAGCGAGACAAATGGTCAGTGAGAAAACGTGGAAGATGGTCAATAGTCATGTTTTAGGACCTAGTTAAGTCAGACCCATCTTGGCAGATGTGTCCTGTAGAAACCGTCCATCAGAAGGATCACCAGACTAGAATTACGTGCGAAAAGGAAGAGATCAAAGCTGTCTAGGATTGGGAAGGGTTTACATATTATACTGAAGCAGTATAGGGCTGGCCATTGGCCCCTTTGTTCAAAACCCAGAACTGTCTGCCTACACTTGGAAGGATCATGAAAGTGGGCAGATGAGGAGACGTCCCATCTCGAGGGCTGTGAAAGTACGATGGCGCCCTTTGACACTCTCTTCTCATTAGCCCAGTTTCAGATTGAGACCTAGAAACATGAGCTGTGGTTAGGCTTGTGAGAGAGCAACAAGGAAGGTGATAGATGGCGGCACGTTGCTTTTGGCCAGCCCTGCCTGTACATACACATGCACACCCTCTCTGATATTTTTGTCCTTTAGATGTTCCAGTACTCCTCTCAAAAGTAGTTCTTTTGTTTGCAACTTAGGTTCCTTTTATCCAAATATATGTGCATCTAAAAAAAAAAAAAAAACAATGTCCTCGATGCTTATGTAGTAATTTTATCTTAGCCAGATATTTCTTTCTTGTATGTAATGAACCCGTTTTGGATTTATTTTTTAAGCCTTTTTTCAGTCACTAATCTCACTTGGCACATGATAACTAAAGGAATCCCCTCAGTTCAAAAGGCAAGATGGATACAAAAGTTCAAATCGTGGGCTTAATTTGTTTAGAACACATGGTATTTCTCCACAAGGTAACCTGCTGTATTTATTTATTTTCTTTTGGTTAAATATAATTTCCAAACTTTGTGGTCAGGCAGCGTCTAAGGTTACGTTACCACAGACTGACAGTTGGTATATGTACCAATCAATCCCTTCATTAGATTTATACAGGTTTAGTTAAGTAGCATTAAATAGGATTCTTAGGAATATGTCTTCATAGTACTTTTAATACTTAAGGCTTTGTAAAACTATCCATGAAGGGAAAGCTCCTCAGCATAACTGCTCAGGGAAATAGGGCTAAATAACTGAACATTAAATAATTGGTTTAAGGTGCTGTTAGTCGAGCCTCAATGCTTGCTACAAGGATGTATGTACAAGGACTGACTTTAATAATTTGCATTATATTGTCCCAACCAGTAGTTTATTTTTTGCCACGGAGATGTAGAAGATATTACAAGCTACTGGATGCACTGTCAGATTAACTTATTTCATTAAAGAAGTTGGGAGAACAAATAGGAAAAAAAAACTTATTTTTCTAGTAAATATTAATGTATTACATTTCAAATAATGGTGCCTGACATATTGAATAATTATTTTCTACAGTGTACGTATGCAACAAAGATATTCCATCATGCATTAGAGTCAGTTCTGGCTCTGCCTAGCTGTTTACATTTGCAAATGTAGCAAACAAGGTAATGAAGCAACTATTTCTATTGCAGTAGATATCTTGTGTGTGTGTGTATGTGTGTGCGTATGTGTGCGTGTGTGTATGTGCGTGTGTACATTAAAGTTGTAAACGGTAACATGAAACGAAAGTTCTTGATATAATGGTATGGAAACAAGAAGGAAATGAAAATATTTTTATGCCTACTTAGGAAAAAAAGGGTAGCACTATTCATTCCAAGTACTTTTTTTTTTAATTTTTAAGCTCTTAACTCACATTGTTATGCTTAAAACGATAAACATATATCCTCTTTTTATTGCTTTGTCTATGTTTCAGATGAAACATTTCAGAAATTATTTTGATAAGTGTTGCTGGAATCTGCAGCACGGATGTTTTTATCGCATTCTGTAGTCGCATTTGCACTTCATTTTTACATGCGCAATTGCTTTGTATTGTTGTGTTTTGTTTGGGTTTTGTTTCTTTTTCACAGTGCCAGGTCTTTGTTTCTTAAAGTTGGATGGCAGGTAGAGTTCAACCAGTTTCTTGACTGTTATAGTGAATGAAGTTAAAAATGTCTTTCTGATGTCTTATTGTCATTTTCATTCTTGCATTTTCATTGTCATGTAAAAAGAGACAGAGAGAGAAATCAGGACTCAGCCTTCTGCTTCAGTTTCCTATTTGAAAGGCCCTATTCTGATCTCACCTGTGCATGTCACAAGCCAACTCTATATTCAGATAAACGGAAATAAAGAGATGGAACGAGGAGCTTTGACATTCAAATTATGTCATGTAATTTATCTTTCTTAGGAAATTTTGATGAATGCATCTCAAAATGTACAGGCAGATGTGAGAGGTGGTGATTTGAGAACTAAGAGAAAAGGATTTCCCAAACAAGACTACAGTGTTTCATTTTCTTAATTTAAAAGACTAATAAAAGGTGCATGACGGAAATTCTCAAGCAACATTATGTCAGCATAATGCCAGGAGATTGATTAACTTGAGCAATATTATACAAATAGGACATTTTACAGGGAGAGCAAACTACTCCTTAAACAGTTTCTCCAGGGTGTCAGACACAAATAGTAGTTCATTTCATTTTTGGCATGTGTTCCTTGTTCCTTTTATATCAGCTTTTTCCCCTTTTCATTATTATACATTGTTTGATGAGAAGAACCTGTTCCTATTTCTTTTGTAGATGACAATTTGCCATCATCCTAAAATTCCCTTCTTTGGGGCCTGCAAAGGCCATTCTTCTGGACTCTCAAGATACATTATAAAAGTGGATTATTATTTTTATTTCGTTTCAAAATGCCTGAGTCATTTTCTCTGTAGTTCCTATTTTAAAAGGCCTACTTGAGTAACCGTTTATTATTATTATTTGGAAAACATTAAAGTTTATTTAGGAATTTTCCCTCTGGGAAAAGGCTTCCCCTCTGATGAAAATGATTTATGCCCTCTGAAATTGTCATGCCCTTTAAAAATTAGTACATTTTTTCAGATAATTTGTTTAGATTCTGACTTGAATTTCGGATCAGACTTGAATACACAACCAGCTCATGCATTCTCATTCTCCCTTTTTTTAGCTCTTTCTCTCATCTCACCAATATGTTCAGACTATTGTTGGAGACAGGAAAAAAATACATAAAGAATCAGTCCATCTCAGAAGGCTGTGGAATGTTTTGATACGACACGACTCTTAAGTGTATGAGGAAAAGGATGGAGCTTCAAAAATTAACATGTTCATTCTGTAGTTCAAAAGGAAAAGGGTGTACCCATTCTTTCTACATGACATTATTGAGATGTTCTTTTAAAAAATCAAGTTTTAAGGTAGTGATATTCTGTTCTAAACTGTTCTCTTTTAGTAAAGGTAGATTTTAGATAACAAGCATGGGGATTCTTTTCTAAGGTAATATTAATGAGAAGAAAAAGAAAGCGATTCTGTTTAACAGCTCTTTGTTGAAGCCTGTGGTGGCACATTAGGTTTATGACTGCACATGTGCACATAATCTCTTATGATCCAATGCAAATACAGCTCCAAAATGTTTAATGTACATATGTTTTTAAATGCCTGAGGAAATAAGTTTCTCAATAAATTGAAGAATATTGAGACTATGAAAATAATCATTAGCTTCTTGCTGTGTGGCTGCAAAAACATCACAAGATGACCTGTCTTGATATCTCTGAATTGCCTACCTGTGTGTAGTGAGTGAGGATTAGCAAAATTCTAGAGGGTCAGTATCTGATACCCCGCTTGGAAGCATGGGATAAAGAACCCGATGTAAGCTTCTGTGCTGTATATCAGCCGTTTTTCTAAAGTTTACAGGAGTTTACAGCTTCCTGTCTTGGGGTCGAGGGGCTCTATGGGCCATCTTGTCAATCAGCAAGTAGGTGAAACTTGCTGATTGCCCAAGATCACAGGCGAAAACAGGAATTGAAATTCGACCTGAATATAGAACGAAATATGCTAACCAAAGGTAGGTACTCTTAGGTGGAATTCTACCACATGCAACTGTAAGCGAGAAGTTTAGAGAGACATGCATCAGGACTTTGAAGGGCTGTGTTATTTTCCCAAAGAAAGACTTGGCCAAGGGCAGGTGGCATGGCTTCTTGGCAAAGCACTTCCTTTTGGTTTTCCATTGCCGTTTCATAGACAGTGGACTCATATGTTCCTCACAGTTGTGCAATTGTTCAAAAGCATCCAGGACCATTTACAGTAATTAGGATCTCCAGAAGATGCTAGGGCAGAAGGGTGTCAGGTCAGGGATGAAGAAAATGTGAAAATCAAGATTGATCCACACATACAAACTAGATTATGTATTCCCATGTGTTCTATTGAAAGGAAAGGTAGAGCTGAAAGCTTCACTCTCTCCTCCACCAGAGAAAAGCAAGAGTCACCTTACATGGAAATACTTTTTGGCCTTCATCAGAGCAAATGGTTTATCAAGATTCCTAAATCCCTAAACTAGATCCTAATTTTATCCCTAGTTTCCATTATCTGACCTGCAGCAAATCACTTTTGTGTGTGTGTGTGCCTCAGGTTCCTCACCTGTAAAATGGAAAAAATATATTAATAATAATAATATTAATAATAATAATGGTAATGTAGTACTTGTTTGTAAAGCACTTTGCAGTCCTTGGTTGAAAGGCACCATGAGAGTGCCAAGTATTATTATATGGCAAGGGGGTTATTTTAAACTCTCAGTTCCCAAGGGCCAGAAGAGGTTGGGGTCATTTTTGTTAAAAATGAGCTGTAAATATCATAACTAGACAGCCTATAGTGTTGACTATGAAGAGGCAAAACTATTACAAGGCTAATAAGACCATAGTTTCTTAATGGCTACCAACAAGGCAAATATCACAATAACAAATGCCAAATTTCTTAAGGTGGACTCTTTGACAACATGAATAATTGTGGGTAGGGGGGACAGGGGTGGGAAACATCTCAAAATGCCAATGTAAAATTAACTTACAGCAATATTCACCAGCAGAAAATGTCTTTCATATGGAATGATTTCATGTTGCTAAGAAAAAAAATTCAATTTGTAGTCCTGATTTGAATATTAGAATGTTGGCTATAATAGTTCTGTTCTTACAACACATGGAATTTTTTTGTTTTATTTAATTTTGTTTTCATAGTGCATGTTCATTTCTACTCACAAACATGTTCTTGGTGTATTTCTTATGCAAACAATCTTCAGGCAGCAAAGATGTCTGTTACATCTAAACTTGAATAATAAAGTTTTACCACCAGTTATACATAATGGTGTTGGTATGGTTTATATAGATTCACTTTCATCTGTGTAGCTATAGGAAACATAAACCATTGTTACATGTAGTATACAGGTTCTACCGAATTGAAATGGTGA